TTTTTCTGTTTGAATAATAGAACAATAACACTTTTGCTCATATTATATTTGATATGGAGGAATGCTTGATAATAACAAGTGTATGTATATAACTGCAATCTGCAACTTAATATTGAATTACTTGAGTGAGAGCATCTTCATTAGCTCCGTCCATGCACACATATGATTCCAAAATTCATGCGCGTAAGTGGTTCCTTCAAGTCACATAATACTTAACATGCTAAACCCTAAACTTACCATGTCCTAAAATGAATAGAACCTCCGAATAATAACCAACCAATAATAAAAAGGTTGTACCTAAATCAACGTCACTAAATAGTTTAATGTTAGGTTTATCAAATAAATTAAATTTAATTACGTATATATGCAATATTCCACTGGACCAACCCCAACGGTATTTTGGCTCTTGCATGCGTCCTTGTTGTATTATTAATTTTTATAAGCCCAAATTAAGGTTTAATTATTAGTCCGTCCACATGCATGATATAATTCTTTTGCAAAAGTACATAATATACTAAAAAAAAGTACATAATATAAGAAAAATATACAAATATTATTATGAAATTTTTATAGGCAATACTTGCAAAATATGCAATTAAAATGTTTATTTTGTGTACGAAAAGAAGAGATAATTGATTAACTTTTTATGTAGCTGCTTTAATTAAATAAGGTTATGCATCACTTAAGAAGAGGTTCTGTTGCAAATATTGTTTCTTTCAATCGACATGTGATTAAGCATGGTACTTGTCTGGTTTATGGGACCAGAAGGTCATTATATTGCTTCAAGGGGCCATAGGTTAATAATTCAAGATGATCGTGTGGTCTCCAGAAGCTCTTACTTTCTTGGCAGAATTTTGTAGCCGTTGGATTAATTAAGATGCATAATAATTGTGATTTAAATATGTTTATAAATGGAAGATGATGCTATGCAGCTACACAAACATGATCAAGAAATAGCAAACCCATTGGGCGGTCGCAAGAATGATGAAATATATTAAATTTCCACTCAAGCTTGTCTATAGAATCTTTTTCTCCAATATGCTCGTCTCTGTGTCCTATTTTATTAAGCAAAAGAAGAAACATTTGAGTTTAAATCTTTTGCAATCGTTTTTTCATTTTTTTTATTTTGTGTAATTTCTCTATGACTTTTATCATTAATTGATCCTTGTTAAGTTTGTAACAAGGATAATGCTAGGGATATCAAATTTTTAAACCAAATTATGTGTCACCAATAAAAAAAATAAGCACGTTAAACGGTACTTAGTTAATAATTCAATCATCTACAACTACATCATTTGGTTTGAAAATCTAGTTTAAAAAATTTGGTCTTCCTAGCATTACCCTTATGACAACAAAATTAAGAATGATTAAATTTATTAACACGTGTTAGTTGATGATAGAGACCACAAAGAGATCACAAACAAAATGAGTACAAAAACTTCGAACTCGAAAAATGTACGTGAGCTAATTTTCTTGACAAGAAAACATGAAGTAGGTAAATAGCACTTCGTTTGAGGAACCATCGGATAAGATTTTTGATGTAATCCTAAAAAATTGTTGTACTTTGAAAATTTTGTTGCAATTTGTACGTGAAACTCTTTTTTCTTGATTAGGTTGAAGCCTGAGGATTTTAGATGAATTATGCTTTCTTATACGCTAATTATATTGACGTATCAATGAAGAAATTCGACATCTCAACCTTTCATCCAAAATACCTAACTGATTGTGGACTCTTTCACATCCGTAAATCGAGATCTCGTTCCTAAAGTGTTTTTTGTTACTTGAATTAGGGAGCGTTTTCTCATGCAAGGTTTCTTATATTTGCGTTAGAGAGTATCAAACCCTACTTTTCACTTACTTTAATCCCAGGGCAAGAGGATTTAACTTTTGGTTAGGCATTAAATCTGTGCGATCCTGTCTACCACTTGTGGGAGACTTTTCAATCTGAAGAAAAAAAACCAAATACGACCATTCGAATTTGGAAAACCCTAACATTATGTTTGGGTGAAGAAATTTAAGATTAATAAGGAATTTAAAAATGATGGAAATTGAAATGACGAGATTTCATTTTCTAGAATTTGTAAATTTTCTTGTTTGGTTAACCTAAAAGAACAATAGAATTAAATGCAGAATTTGTTATTTTTAAACTCTCAATCATAAAAATTGAGAAATGACACCTATTTACAAGGAATTTGAACTTGGGATTTGGAGGTCCCAAATTCCAAGTTTTTTTTCCATGCGGAAATTCTAAATTTCTATATTTATGAATCCAAATAAGAGAATTGATGCCTGTCAATTTATAAATTATGACTGTTACCAAAATTCCATGTTTATTTCCCTCATCTAAACATAGTGTAATTCAACTTTGAATTTCTATTTAAAAGTCAACTCTTCCACTTGTTACTGGTCGTGTTATTCAAACACTTCGACCGAATTGAAGAATTTACATGGCTAATTGATATTGATACTAATCAAATACTGTTTTGGGAGCAACTCAGTTCGTTCACAACTTGCAAAGGGAGTTTTTTTCTAGGTCGACAGCAACATGTTTGAATTTTATCAATTTTTTTTTAATACAGGACGGATCTGTGTCATTACTATTTTACATAATTTATGGCATTTGTTTTTATGGTATATGCTTCGTAATGCATTTTAATGATTTGAACCGTCTATTTTTTAGATCTTCCTCAAAGATCATGTCTATAAAAAAGTTACTCAAATTTGAAATCATATGGATTAAGGGTTTAGGATTACTTTGTTAGAACTGTATTCATATATTTTATTCTGTACAAATGAATGTCTAATGGTTTTGGATTTGTCTAAGTTTTTACAAAAATGATTTATGAATAATATTTTAAAAAATAAACGGTTTGGATCGTTAAATTTCATAAAGGAAAGAAATCAACAAATACTTGTGTAAAAATTATGAAAAAATGATGTTACTAATCTGCTTTTTTTTCATTGATAATTTTATGAAAGTAATGATAGAGAGTCTAAAATTTTAAATCAAATAATTTGTCACCAATAGAAAATAAGATGTTAATTAACGCTTAAATAATAATTTAATCATCTACAACCATATTATTTAATTTACAAATTTAATTTAAAAAATTTCGTCTCCCTCCCTTATCCCTTTTATGATTGTTATTTTCTAGCAATAAAAATCTTGGGAAAGATATTTCCCATATGCAAAAGCTAAAGTGATGTACAAGAATTAAAGCGGTGGTGGGAAAATGAACGCGGAAAGACTTCGATTACTTGCATGTTACTTTGAGGAAATTAGAATCTCCCACGTCTTTTTAACCTTCAGTTTATTTATCTCCTGTATTTATTATTTGCTACTTAATATATAAAGACCTTATTAAGGCTATAAATATAAAAATAAATGGAAATTTAAAAGGAAGCTGTTTTGACAGAAACTAGAATGTCTATATTAAAGAAAATAGTAGGTTTGGCCTCATAATGAATTAATAATAATATAGTTCAAATTCGTTTTTTGGCAAATTCAAACCTAAGACATCTTGAAGAAGAATACTACTAGACCATAGTACTAAGTTGCTATAAATTAGCAATATTTAGTATTTAATATGATTACAATATATATATTGTAGTGACTTTGATATTAAGTTGTGATCTATTGGAATTCGAACAAATTAAAATTAATTAAGTGCAGTATACTAATCAAATATTGATGACATTATCCACCAAATGTTGACCAAATCATGAAAAATGATCCTTACAACAATTGCGTTGCGATTTGTAATTTAATTATTCGGCCGATTTCCTTTGTTTGTTTCTCGTAGAAATCGGTGGAAACTTTGAGGAAAGAAAATTAAATGGACCCAACCGGCCAATCCTCTTTCAAAGCATAAACCCTAGCCACAAACAGAGCAACAAATAAATACAATAAAAATTCTAACTGAAACAAACAAAGGAAAAAATTTGAGGGAAAAAAAAACCAAATATGAAATGTTAATTATACAAATAAAGACTTGACTCCTGAAAGATTGGAAAGAAACTTGTCCTCAAAATTCTTTGCTTATTTACAAAATTTCGTATTCATCAAATCATATCATATTAGGATGATTATAAATACGAAATGAGTTTTTATCATAAATAATTTCTGAAATTGACCCACTTAAGATGATCTCTGAAATTGAAAATCGATCAATGTAGTCCTTAAAAATGACTGTCGCAAATCAATGTGATCATTCCGTCACAATCCTGTTAAAAATTCTGTTAAGTGTTGATATGACATATAAATGGATTCCACAAATTTAATTAAATATATTTTTTAACTATAAAAAATAAAAATTGTTTTTTATTATTTAAATATTTTTAATTTACATAATAATATTTAATTAAATTTATGAGACCATATATGTGCCACATCAGCACATAACATAATTTTTGACAGAATTGTGACGAAATGACTACATTGATTTGCAAGACGGAAGGACTACATTGATTTGCAACACTCAATTTCAGGGACTATATTGATCGATTTTTACACTAGAAAGAGAGGAAGTTCGGTTAAGCCACACAATATGCAGTCTAATTTAGTATCGAATTCACCATCAATAAGATTCAATCCTAAAACAGATCACTTTTAAACAAAAAGAAATGCCACCAATAAGGCAATAACTTCTCCTCAATTTTAAAGAGCGAGTTCTTGTGAATTACATAAATCCATGGAAATAAAAAATATCGAGTGCATTTTTACTCACCATTATTTAGTGTGATGTATGTTCACCATCTTATTTAACATCATTAGATGAATTTAAATTTTGAGATTTGTGCTTATTTACTACACAAATCTCGAAATTCAAACTCATATAACGATAATAAATAGAATGACGAGCAAACATCAAAATAAATAATGGTGAGCAAAAATTGTTCCCAAGGTATTAGGGCTTGTTATTTTCTGAGACCAAAAAACTCGTCCACTTGTTACTTGTAATCTTGCTCACCACACCCTCCCGGTATAAAAACCCACGATATTTTCTTCATTCTGTGTGCGTCCCAAGTATGAAAGAGAGCATTCCAGGTTCTCCAATGGTGTCAAGGCATTCATCCCCCTCTCTCTCCTCTTTCTTTTTCCAAATCCAAACCTCCCTCTAGCCTTAAACCCCTTGAATGGAATCCATTATAATCAGCTTCTCAGCCATTCTCTCTTGGATTCCACCACACGATGAGCCCAACTCCCCAAATCAACCAAAACCCATTTCAGATCCCCTCTTTGATTTCTATAATTTCTCATAGATTTGGTGTTTAATTTGCCAAATCCCAACTACCCAACTCAAAATCCCTTATTTAATCGCACTCCCAAGTTACTATTTTGCATCAATGGAGGAAAGGACGGTGCTTTTCGGGAAGTACGAGGTGGGGAAGCTGCTGGGCAAGGGGACCTTCGCGAAGGTCTACCATGGCAGACAAATCGCGACGAACGAGAGCGTGGCGATTAAGGTGATCAGCAAGGACCAGGTGAAGAAGGAAGGGATGATGGAGCAGATCAAGCGGGAAATCGAAGTGATGCGTTTAGTCCGCCACCCGAACATTGTGGAGCTGAAAGAAGTCATGGCGACCAAGACCAAGATCTTCGTCGTCATGGAGTACGTCAAGGGTGGCGAGCTCTTCACCAAGGTGGCGAAGGGGAAGCTGAAGGAGGATCAGGCACGGAAGTACTTCCAGCAGCTAATCTCCGCCATCGATTTCTGCCACAGCAGGGGCGTTTCCCACCGCGATTTGAAGCCGGAGAATCTGTTGATCGACGAAAACGAGGATTTGAAGATTTCAGACTTCGGACTCTCCTCCCTGCCGGAGCAGCTCCGGAACGACGGGCTACTGCACACCCAGTGTGGGACCCCTGCTTACGTGGCGCCGGAGGTGCTGAGGAAAAAGGGGTACGACGGATCTAAGGCGGATCTCTGGTCGTGCGGAGTTGTGCTGTTCGTTTTGCTCGCTGGATTTCTGCCGTTTCAGGACGAGAATCTGATGAGGATGTACAGGAAGATTTTCAAGGCGGAGTTCGAATGTCCGCCGTGGTTTTCGACGGAGGCGAAGCGGTTGATCTCGAAGCTGTTGGTTTCCGACCCGGAGAAGCGAATCACCATTCCGGCGATCATGCGCGTGCCGTGGTTTCGCAAGGGGATGAAGAAACCGGAGGAGTTTTTGGGACACCCGGAAGGTGTTTGCGAAAAGTCCGAAGAGACCGATGCTCAAAGCGACGTACAAAACGAAAGCAATAAGTCGTCCTCGCCGAAGTTCTTCAATGCGTTTGAGTTTATTTCGTCGATGTCGTCCGGGTTCGACTTGTCGAATTTGTTCGAGACGAAGCGGAAGGCGGGGTCGATGTTCACGTCCAAGTGCTCGGCCGCGGCAATCATGACGAAGATTGAGGTGGCGGCGAAGGGGCTGAGCTTTAAAGTGAGGAAAGTGAAGGACTTCAAAGTAAGGATGCAAGGGCCAAATGAAGGGCGAAAAGGGCGGCTTTCGGTAACCGCGGAGGTGTTCACGGTGGCACCGGAGGTGGCGGTGGTGGAGTTTATAAAGTCGTCCGGGGATACCTTGGAGTATGCCAAGTTTTGTGAGGAAGATGTTAGGCCAGCATTGAAAGACATTGTATGGACATGGCAAGGTGACGGTGACGGGAAAGTCGACTGCGATCAACTTCAACAGTGATGAAACAAAGATTAATGATGTTAAAAGTGAATTAATAGTAACAATCTTGGAAATTCTGACCCTAATTTTGGGGTTTTTGGTTTTCACTTTTGTAGTTGGTTTTTTGTTTTTTTGTTTCTTTTGTTTTGGATTGCTTTTGGTTTTTAGTAAAGAATAGGAGGATTAATTTGTGATTAGAATGCTAATTAGTATTATGGGTTTGAAACTTTGAAAACACAGATAGGAATAGGATGAGCAAGTTTATACAAGCAAGCAATGAACCAGCTGGTTTTGTTGGCTGTTTTTCCTTTGACGCATCTGTTTCTGTTAGGTGCTGCCTTCTAATTGTTTCCAGATTTATGTCAAATTTGGTTTTGATCGACAAAGAAAGACGTGCCAAACGAAAAGCCATGGAGAGATGTGACTTTTGGGACCATCAACGTTGAAAAGTTGAAAAACCTTGTAAAGATTTGGAGTTTGCCAAGTTCTTTATTATCAATTGATTTAGGATAAAACTTTCTTGAACTTTTTTTCAACTTTCTACCGACAGATAAATGAATATCTTCCTTTTGTTTTTGTGTTTTTTCAATATCATAACAGTAATTACATAGTATTCTTGCGTGACTCATCTTTACTTTTATGTAAAATTGTGAGTAAAATTAAAAGGAAAATTAATGAAAATAGTTTGAAAACTTTGAGTTTTAACGATAAGGAGAAAATAAATGGTAAATTGAATAGTACCAGAATTAACTTTTTAATGTAAAAATATGATTTTTTGTTAAAATAAACAGATGTTTTTCATTAAAGTTCTCTAAAATTAATTGTTTTTATTGGATCCTCACATTTGAACATGGATTTTAGTTGCGACTCATCCTAAGTGAAATAGTGACGAAATAGCGTGTTTCAGTGAATATCACAGTATAATTAATTAGTTTGTCCGCTCATATGCTGACAATGTAGACTTTAACCATTTTTCTCTTCCTCAAGACAAGTAAAATCACACCCCTAAATTGACAAATTGACGAGGATAATGCTTGCATTTTTTTGGGGAACGAGCTCATTTCTTAACACACAAAGATAACATATATTTATTGTTAAAGCGTTATAATCGAAACCACTAAATCTCTTAATCTTTCATTTGAAGATTATTTTAACAAAAAATCATTTAAATAAAAAATCGTTTAATCATCTAAATGTATTAAACAAATTAAACAGTTTATCATGAATATGCTATTTGATACCTATACCATTAATTTGTTATGATATATATGAATAACTATGATTTTTTGTAGACATGTCTTCAGACAGAGATTAAAGATTGAGTTGTTCTGACTATGAATTTTGTACGGTGGGAATTTGTGTGAACTCATCCCACGTATACAAGTATTATCCAATTGACAATTAACCATCCATATCACTTTAACCCAATCGCATAAGCCAAAAGCACTTTGGATGCATATCACTTTTTAAGTCACTCTATTATATGTTTTATTTTGTTAAATTTCTAATAATACATGGGGAAGACCAAGAAAATAATGCTCAAAGACTTGTAGTTTTCCTAATAAGGTAAAATCTGGCACCAAATGAAAGAAAATTAAGCTCATTTGTCATCTTAAAAATGGTTAATTTATACACGTTGACAATATAGTTGCGCCTAATTAAAATAGCTAATAGCCTATCAGCTTTTGGGACTGGTAGTTGGAAAATGAAAAGAAAAGAAAAGAATAGAATATTAAGGTGGAGGCAGTTGTGCTTTCTTTCTCAGTTGTGTGTGTTTTGGTCCAACAAGCTGATAGGATTTACAAAAGCTGCTTCTTGGAAGAGAAAGCACTTATGGTAAGTTTGGTTATTGATGGATATCACTCGCTATATATATAACAATAAGCTGATAGGATTCAGTTTGGTTATTGATGGATATCACTCGCTATATATATATATATATAATCACTTTTGGTAATTGAGATATGCCCTAATACCTCACTTTTAATTAATTGTGAGAGCAATTTTGGAAAATTGACTGCTTTGGCATATATTAATTGGTCCATATACAAGAGAGATTGCCTTGCAAGTAACAATTTTTACCGAATAATATGTTGGGAGAAAAGAACATGAGCAAAATTGTCCGACCACGATAAATACAAAAGTCATTCTCATAAGGTATGAGATTCAATGTTAGTCTCACAAACTCTGTGCTGATCGTAATCGGTGAGAATTGCCTCAATCAGATGGTCTTACTAGAAGTTTTTTTTGTGATTGAATGATATTGCATGAAGACCTGCTTGCTTAATTGGGTGGTGAAGAATGCAAGGTATGTGTATTTTTCATCTCCACCATAATGCGTATACGACCCTAATTTAAGAGATATTGCCTTGCACGTAAGTGCATCACCCAATAATTTGAATTTATGGTATTGCTAATTAAACAATTGCTAGACAAGTAAGTGCATCACCCAATAACATGAATTTATAGTATTGCTAATTAAACAATTGCTTAGGTGTGGTTGTGGCTCTCAGTTATTGATCTAATAATAATATAGAGAAATATTTATGTACGTAGAGTTACGTACATGCGCATCAATGGTTGTTAATTGTTGTTAGTGATATAGTATTTGTTTTAATAGTTGAAAACTACTCACATACAAATAAACGATTGTTGGTAACATGACTCGTGAGAATGACATATGGGTAAATAAAACATTATTTATGAACATGCACCTCGAGATTTCCAAACTTAGGCAATAGTGATAGAGTAATAAGAGTTCCGTTAGATAGAGTAAATTTATAAACTAAATTTGAAAACTATACGATGTGTAACTAATAAAAAATAAGTACATTAATTAACACTTAATCAATAATCTAATCATCAATTTTTATATTAGTTAGTTTATAAAATTTAGTCTTTTAACATTACCCAAGTGATATTAATTAAAAATCACTCATGCAAATAACCGTTTGTCAATAACACGACTCGTGACAATGATATATGTTTATGACGCAAGCTTATAGAACAATTTTTGTGGAAACCTCGAGATATCCAAAACGTAGGCTGTAGGGGCAGAGTGATGTATATATACATACTCCACATTAAGGCTAGAGTCCAACTCTTGTCTTTGCCCCTGATTATTCTTTATTGAATCAAATTCAAAAACAAATGGCAATTTCAGATTTGCATATATATGTGTGTGTGTGTGTGTGTGTGGATTTACATCGACAGTTAAAGAGTGTGCACCTCAAATAATTGATCAGAGAGAGAGAGAGAGAGAGAGAGAGAGAGATCGAGTGCAGAAAAAATCTTCTGAGAGTGCATGCATGCATGACATAAGCAATAAGCATTGGCTACGTGAAAGTTTCAACGGTCGTTTTTGTCGCGTACTGGGGCAACAGAAAATTAGATCAATGCTTAAACACATGAAGTTTAACAAACTTAGGTTTAGTGAATGCTTAATCATGTTTGGAGGATGAAGAAAATAAAGATGACGTGGCCAACTCCATTACAAAAACAAAAACTTATCTGTCGCGTTCCTTACTGTGTGTGTTCTAGCTAGAACATTGGAGATGCATGCAGGTCGACCAAGGAGGAGGCACCACATACGTCAACACAAGATAAGATAAGGTTTTCACTTTAGGGGTGGATTGTCAAACTACCGTTTATTTTTGTCAAACTACATAAATTATAATCTTTCAAGTTTCTTAATGACTGTTTTGTTAACATTCATACACTCTATGTTAATTGTCAACAAATGATTACAATAATTGATGTAATAAGTGAATTTTGTATGTTAGGCAATGTAAACTTGTGATGAGGTTGGGGTCTAAAAATATGATCTCTATAGCGATGGTCTATGCTTTGTAGATGTCTATAATTTAGAATTCATTTTTGAAACCATATTTATATAATTCTTAGATGAACTCTTTTTCAAAAATATTAGGATCCGTCACGCACGCTGGTACGTGCATATGCAACTTATCTTAAACATTCTTAACAAATGACACACAAAATGATAATCGTTACAATTAGCACTCCTCTTTCAGATAGAGAAATATAGGTTTGACTAGTGGTTAGGAAACAAACACTAAATTGGAAAAAAGTGGGCCACAAGGGCCCAAAACAATCAACTAACAGGCCCTTTTCACGGCGAGAAGGTGTCCATTTGGGTTTTAATTACAAATGGAATCAGAGTCCGCGATGACTGATAGGCCTGAACATTTCAATCCATCTCAGCAGAAGAAGCGGCATCGGTGTGTCCACCTGATCCATTGGGCTGGAGAACGGAAGGAAAACCAATAAGTGGTTTTTCTTTTCTAGATAGAACTACTTTTTAAATCACATTTGTAATTCATACGATGTGTCATCAATAAAAAATAAACACATTAAGCAACACATAAGTAATAATTCAATCATCAACAATTAAGTCATACGATTTATAAAATATAATTTAAATAGATGGTATTCCTAGCGTTATCCTTTTAGAAGAGAAATGCTAAGGAGACTCTCTAAAAAATGGGACTTTCCATGGATTCTTTGCCACCTCATGTTTATAGCACAATTCATGTGCCAACATTATAAAACATTGTGCCAAAAACATAAGATGGCGGAGAGTCCATGGAGAGTCCTACTTTGAGGTATTATCCTTAGCATTTCTCTTTGGAAAATTGGTTTGAAGACATCATATAAAAGAGGTTAGAAACGACGACATAATGGAGATTTAAGTTAAGAAAATTCAGTCATATCCCAATCTATATGTAATGCGCAAAAGATATAATTCAGACACATTTTATTTGTAATATGCACCTATTTTTAATCATTAATTTCCTTATAATTTTGTATAATTCTTGTACATGTACCCTACTTTGTTTAATATTGCAACTTAAATGAGAACGGAAAAATTCTTATCGTTACCCAACTTATGTATTATAATAAAAACGGATAAAAAAAATTCATATTTATATGCATAGTTTAGATATTATAACATTAATATCTCGTGGTGGGTGTGGGTGACAGCCACTCCAAAACAACTTTTCAAATGGGAAACGAACCACACTTGTGAAATCCCAAGTGTAGTTGGCGACTATGATATTTTACTTAGTCCTTGTCATCTTTAGTATCCAAACAAAAACCCAATGGCCCTCTCGATCGATCGAGAAACTCCAGAAGAAGAAAGTGTTGGAATTTTGGCTCTGAAAAGAAAAACGCAAAACACGTACATTATCCTCATCGACAACAAAACGGGTGAAAAGCAACCTCACAAATAACATGTACAAAAGAAGTAGGTCCGATGACGTGAATATGCTGATGTAAATTCAGTGCCTCACATGAA